AAACATGAGGGTGGGGCTCCTCAGCTAGCAGGAATAGAGCTGTTTAATATTAGATCCCAGAAATCATACCTGACTTTTTTTTTTTAAATGTTATTTAATTTTTACTTTTTTTAAACCGGTATTTTTAATCCTGAAATAGTCAGCTAATGGATGTGTGGGCTGAGGTGGGCATCTGCCATCAAGGATAATGCTGCTGGTTTTTGAGTGAGTGTTTGATCCCAGCAATAGCAATGCATTGGAAATGAATTGGTGGGAGCACAGCAGGTGTAAAGGTCAGGAGGACAGGGGGATTGAACCCCTGTGGTGATGTTGTGTGTGGCTCTAACTGCCCGTCTCTTTCCTCTTTTCTTTTTTTTCCCTTCCACAACAAACACTTTTCAGAATCTAAGACAAGAACTTGACGATCTCCTACAAGAAAAAATCGAGAACCCTCACCCCGTGGACTGGCAGGACACCAAGAGCAGGGACACAGCAGTGCTGACAGCGATCATAGACCTGATCACCACGCAGGAGAACGAGGGGCTGCGCAACTACGCCCCGCGCTTCCAGGGCGAGCGCTGCAGCTGACCCCGGGCTGCCCCTGCACAGCCTCCTGTCTGTTAGAGCATTTCTTTAGCTAGAGGGAAGACTTTTCTAGGGTAAGCTGGCATTGTCCTCGTCCCGGAGAGCAGCTCCTCGGATAGCTGGCAGTGTCTGTGTATGCATGTATTCTGTGTCCAGTGTAGCTTCAGAAGGGAGGGAAGGGCAGTGCTGGGGGATGTGTGGTTCTTGTCCTGATGTAGCTGTTTTTGTTGGGTTTTTACCCACCAGGTAAGAGATTTTTGAAAAGCCTGCTAAAATACTGCTTAGTAATACCTAAACTGTTCTTGCTGCTGGAGAAACATCTCAAAAGACTTCTTTTTTTTGTTAATTGGGGGCGGTGAGTAATTACACTGGCTGTGTTGTTCCAGCTGTGCAGCAGTCTGCTCACCAGCACTTCCACAGAAGGTAATTACAGCTTAATTAATCTAAACTTGAAAACACTTGTTAAATTTGTACTGTGGGAGGAAACAATCCTTAGAAATATTCTCTTCTTCTGCCTTTCATCCCATTCAGTTAATCTTTATTCTCTTTCTGTCCCCATCCAACCTCACTACTGACAGAAATTGCAGCTTACAGGAAGTATGGTTAGATAAAAGGCACGGTGGAATATGCTTTAAGGTTCATTGCATTCGAATTTTTTGGTTTGGTTTTTTGTTGTTTTTTTGTTTTAAATCCATGTAAGGGTTATATTATTACATTAAAAGTCTTTTCTTTAAAGTGTTATTTCATCTGTTCACAATGTTTTGAATGTTATTCTGTTTGAATGATTTCCAGCTATGGAAGAACATTTGAATAACAAAGCTTATTTGGGATTTTGAGGTTTATCATCAAGAAACTAAGCTCTTGTGTTGCCTTTTATTTGCCTGGAAATATAACTCTTCTCTCTTCTTTGGGGTTTTTTTCTGTGCAAAAATGACTTTGGATCATCAAGCTTGGGAGGATTTATGGGCTTTATCCTGAAGAAAACAGCAGAGCAGGTGAAATTAATATTTTTTTTTTTTACAGAAATATGTCGAACTTAGTGACTAGAAGGTGCTTTCCATTGGGTTAACAAGGGATGGAGGATGTCAGGCTCGTTGCTTCCCCCCACAGCTGAAAACAATACACAGTTTAAACTCCCTCCTGCCAACGTTTTACCCCCAGGTGTTTTAGATAATGAAGGAGGGGAAAGAACATCCTGCCCTGGGGGTTCTGGGTGTACCAGGGAGTTGGAGGGAGAAGCAGCTCCGGTGGCTGCAGGGAGTGGGGAAGAGCTGGGCTGTGAGAGCTGTGGGAGCCGTGAGGGCTGTGAGAGCTGTGAGGGCTGCGGAAGAGCCGGGCCTTGAGGGCAGCATGGAAGACAAGCTGCACCGAGAGCAGGGAACCATGGTGCTGCTGGAGGTGAGCCCCGGAATCAAAGTGAGGGGAAATAGGGGTTAAGTTACTGATAACTGTGTGGAAAAGGGAATGAAATGAATTCCAGTGAGTGATTTTGGTGTTGGGGAGGAGGGAGCAAGATGGCGGCGCGGGGAAGGAGGAGGGAACAAAATGGCGGCCGGCGCTGAGGGGCAGCACGGCAGGGGCTGGTGGCACCAGGGTGCCCAGTGTCGGTGTGTGAGTGTGGGGCAGGAACCACAGCTCAGCAGAGGCTCCCACTGCAGACTGGATTTATTGATGAAAGGTTGGTGGTATTGGTGTTACTGGCAGCGCCGGATTAAAAGTGGTGAAAACACAGGCTGGCACGTGGCACCTGCTTTATTCTCCTTGTCCGTGGTTTTTGCGGTACTTAAATGATGGCTAAATTTTTAATTAATAACACAAAGAGCAAAAGGAGATGGTAGCGAAAGCAGGGCCTGGGTGAGGATGGCAGCGTTGTTTGAAGGAAGGTGCCTGTTCTCTCAAACCCCTGCATTTGGAGCCATCAGGGCCCAAAGGGCACCCCCAGAAGGGCCACACCTGAGGGGTCACGGGCTGGGGCAGTCGGATCTGTGCTTAGCGAGTGTCTAATGTCTAACTAATGGTGCTGACTGTGCTTGAAATATAGCTTAACATACTTTTTTAAGTGGGAAGGTATCAGAAACCTCTGTTCTTCAGAGTTTGAGCCTGTTTCAAGTGTCAGGTGAGCTGGTTTGTGCTGGGATAGTTTTCCTCACTAGTGTGTCTGGTGTTATGTTTGGATTTGTGATGTAAATACCATTATTCCAGGTATGAAGTTTTGATAAAATCATTTGCAGACTACAGCAGATAAATCCTTGGATTTCCTCCATCTTGGTGTCAAAATTTATTCTGGATTTATTTCCAGCACTTGTGTTCTGTCCACTTGTTTTTCCTACGTGTGTTACTTTAGGAACAGAATATCCATGTCCAGAGTGTAAGGGACGTGCCTGTGAGTGATGCTGAACACAGGCTGCGCTCTGTCAGGGTGCGTAGGTTGACTAAAGTGTGCTATTTTTACCTTTTTATTTTCAGCAAATTAGCTTTGCATAATGGGAACAAATGTACTCCTTGCCGTGGCAGTCAAGAACAGCACTGCATTACAGCATGTCTTAAAAGTTCAGCAGATAAAAATATTTATTATGTTGTAGGGCTGATATAAAGAAGCAGAAAAGAATATTTATAACTGTTCCTTATGTGTGTCACAAGTAGGAGATGCTGAGACAGGCTGGAGTCGGGTGGGCACTGGATTTCTGAGCGGCTGCTGGGTGGCCTCAGGAGCCCACAGACACACGTGGGCACCTCAACTTTGATTCTGGGAACTGAGAGCATTTTGTTTTTTAAGCATTTTATTTGCTTAAAACCTGGCTCGAGAAGTCAGAAGGAAGGGGTGCACATTCCAGGCCTTCCAAAAATGAGAGTTTTAATTTTACAGTAACAAACTCCCACCTCTCTTCTGTCACTGCTGGGAGCTTAATTGAAAACGAGATACTGGTGTCCAGTCCACCTCTAATTAAAAAGGAGATGCAGGAGAGCTTGTGTGTCTGTGCACGTGCAGAGTGCACAGGGTGTGAAAGTGCTGAGTTTTTTGGACCACACTCTTTGTAATTAGAAGTGCTCATCTTTTAGCTCCGACTTGCTCTAAATTACTTTTTGCTAATGAAAATATCGTGCAGATGCTGTAAGGGGAAAAAAACCAACCCCAACCCCCTGAGTTTTTGAAAACTTGTTTATACAAATGTTTAGATAAATTGCTTCTTATGCCTTAAATTTTTAAGACCTCTTCTTGCTATGCTGGAATTTAGAGAGCAAGTCCAAGGCAGCAATAGTGGAGCAATCCCCCTCCTGTGTGTGCCACCCCCAGGTAAGGTGGGCATTGTAATTAATGCCACCTTGGGAACATGATTGAACCCCTGGTCAGCCCTGGTTGGAGCAGGTGAGTGGTGCAGGTCCCTTCCCCTGAACTGTGGCCAAATTATAGAAAGCAGAGGTGACTGAAGGATCTTTTTCTATCTCCTGCTTCTTGTTTTTCTCTCAGCCCTCAGATGTTCTCCCCGGCCTGTGTTCTATGCCATGGCTTCATGGATCTGTGGCAGATGAAGTAGGACACAGGATGGTGCCATTTATCTTTACAGAACAGGAACATTTAAAATGTGACAGCTCCCCAAAGAGATTTCTTTGACAGGAATGACATTAAACAACTGGCATTTAAAGAAATGCCATTAAAAAAAAATTCAGAGCTTTTTTTAGTAAGGATTTAAAAGCATTTTATTGATTGTTGTCCTATAAAATCATAGAAGTCTTTAATTCCTGAAGAACTGTGTCCAACGATAGGAAAAATGAAAAATGTCTTTAAAAAACATTACAGCATTTTTGGAAAAACTGGGTATGAAAAATATATACAAGGTATTAAAAAAATCTGAATAAAATTAATGCCTGGATTTATACATTCAGTTATGTGTTAAACATCTGCCTGTATACAATAAATTTGTTAAAACAGTAGCAGTCTTTTTACTATGTTAAATAAGTCTTTGTTCAATTTACAGTTTCTGTCATTACTATTTTATCAGTCCTTTTTTAAATTAATTTACAAGGCTGTATAGCCACTGTCAGACCATCAAGGTAAGTACTTTTGTACAAAATTATTGCCTTCCTAATACAGTTTAAATTGTTAGAGACAGACATCTTTACAAACACCCAATTCACTCACCAATGAAATCACATATTACAGAGTATAAAACAACCTCCAGCTCCTGTTCTGAGGCTGGGGAAGGCAACAAAGAGAAAGCCTTGGTACTCCAAGTTGTCCCCTCGTTTGTAGTGAGCAGTATTTAGCTGCTGAGGCAGCAGCTGGTCCTTACCCGGGTGAGGGTTTGCATCCCACAGTCCCAGTGCCTGCCCTGCCCAGCCCCGAGCTCTGCCCCATTCCCACAGCAGGGGGGTGTGCTGGGTGTGCAGTGCCCTGTGAGCACGGGCAGCACCAGCACAGCTCCTGCCAGGCTGTTCCTCTGCTAAAATACCTGGGCCAAGGTGGATCAGCACCACCTGCTTTGCAGAGTGTGGTACCTTGGTTTTGCTTTCAGAAATCCTTTCACCACTGCAGAACTAAAAGGAGACAGTCTGAGCTGCCTGACAGTGTTTGTTAGAGACCACTCCAGCTGGAGGCACAGCTCTGGATTCTTCTGGAGCTTCTGCCAGCTTTGCTTGTGCCAAGGCCGGGGCTGTCCCTGGATTTGCACTGCAGAGGTAGGTTGGTCTTCATGAAGTACAGAGCTGGTTATTCTAGTTCAGGTCACACAGGTTCTGACACAAGTGGGAAGTATCCCATTAACACCCTGGCTGGTACTGGGACTGTCCCACTGCAGCTCTTTGGGACACCCCCAGCATTGCTGTTCACCTCCAGCTCCATGGATGGGGCCCGTGTCTCTGTCCCATGTCCTGTGCAGCTCTGGGGAAAGCAAGTCAAGATCCTGAAAAACGGAGGGAGCAAGAACGGAAGGAGGCAGGGCTGGAGTGACTGAAGCCAGAACTGGAACACGAGTGAGAAGGATGCAGAGCTGAGCTCCCAGGACACTGCTGAGCTGCACTCTGCTCCTGGTCAAACCAGGCTTCAGTTGGGAGCTCTCGGAAGGCAAAGTGAGGACGGATCCGAGTATCCAAAGATCAGTGCTCTGGTGAAGGGGTGAGGGCTCCGGTGCCCCCTGTCCCACAGGGAGCCCCCAGCAGCGGGTGCAGAGCGTGGTGTGGGGCCAGGAACAGGCTACACGTTGGTTTCCAGCCCCAGCAGGCGCCCCATGCGCTCCATGTTCTTGTCCAGGGTGGCCCGGCAGGTGATCTCCTTGGCACACTCCATGGGGAACCAGCCCCGCTGGCCGTCCCGCAGCCGCTCCCCCTCGAACCAGCCTGCAGGGACACTCACAGCATCACACACCTTATACACCTGCCTGGGCACTGAATAAAGGACCAGATTAAGAGAGACCTGGCAGCTTTTTATACAGGCAGACTAGGGAAGAAAGTCTGTGTAAAATGTATTAAACAATTCCACTAGTTTTTTTATATATAATTAAAATATAATTTGCAATAATGGCTATAATATCACTGCAATCTAAAGAGAGCAGTGCAGCACAAGTGACATTTCATATGTAACACTGAGTAACATCAAGCTGGGATTTATCCCTCAAGTGCTGGCAGTGTCCTGCCTCCCTGAGCCAGCACATGGTGCTGTCAGTGGAGTCACGGGCATGTCCAGGCAAGAACCAGTTCTGATCCTGGGGTGTTTGATGCTGTGGAAAACCTCAGCAAGCCCCCTGAGCCAGAGCTGTGCCTGTAGCAGGCAGGGAAGCCCAGGCCATGGCACTGCTCAGACTGGGGATGCTTCTTGTGGACAACCCTGGCACTCACTGCAGTGTCTGAGCTCCTCATTTTTAGATAAATGCAATTTCTTATTTGGGGACCTGTCACAACCAGGCAGCACACACGTTCTGCAGCTGGTTATACTCTGCTCATCTGCTGCCCAACAGAGCCTGTCCTTTAGAAACCTGAACGCAGATGTCCAGGCTTTTCTTGGAGGCTGAACCTTTACTCAGTTTAGGCCCATGCTATTAGGAACCACTTTTTTCCAGCTGGATCCCCCTGCAGAGGTGGTTATGAGTGACAGCCAAACCTTCACTCACCATCATTCAGTTTCTGATAAACCAGAACGACATCAGCCACTTGGAGGGACAGTTCATCGGGCTGCTTGGCCGTGTATGTCCTGATGATCTCCACCTGAGCCAGAGCTGGGGGGGAACAAGCCAGGCTCAGTTAAACCAGGCTCAGAGCAGTGCCCCTCATTAAAGCACACAGACCATTTCTTTTCCCCCCCGTGCCCCTCCCCTGGGTGGTCTCTCTCCCCCAGCCCCCCGAGGGGTCACTCACTGGTCCTGTCGGTGTGCAGCCCGTCGCTGTCCTGCCCCAGCGCTGTGATCCACCGCGCTCTGTCACTCCTGCAGGGCACAAAACACAGCTCAGTGTCCCGATTGAGCTCCTGAGAGTGTCAGCACTGACACTGCCCTTATTTCCTCCAGGGTCAGCACTGATCTCCTGGGAGTAACCTGTGTGTATCACCACCTGTGTGTATTTTGTGCCTCAGTGACAGGGTGATACAAAGGTCTAACCTAACCCTGGTTCTTTTGCCCTCAGGAGCCACACACCACATGACGTGACAAAACTGAGCAACTGTGCTGGAAATCTTTGTGTCAGAGAAAACATTTCAGTTTTACCTGCACAAAACCCTGTTCCATAGGCACTCTGACCCCCCCCAGCTTGGCCTTGGAGATTCCCTTCCCAGGCTTCTCAAAGTACAAGATAAGACTATAAAAATAGGTAATTTTCAAATACAGGGATTCTTTTCAGCCTCTTCCTCTGAGTGATGATCTCCTATTTATACTGCAAACGGTACAGAACAAATCAATAATAAATCTGAAGAACAAAATGTCTTTTCATCCAAAGCCCAGACAACTAAAAATGTCCTGCATTTTTTCCCCAATAAAATCGCATTTTCAAACAAGTCTGAATCATCTGCTGCCTTCATAATGAGTTCTTTAATAGAAAGCATTGATGATCTTTAGTTTCTTTCAGGGTTATTCTAAACTTTGAAAGCAAACCTAAAACTATCAATTTTTCCAGGCAGGGATATGTCTGGAGCTCTCCCTTTCATGTGTCTGTCCCGCCTCCAGCTTCCCCCGCACAAACAGGCTCTCTCAGTGCTGGGGAGGTCGGGTGGAAGTTAATGGCCCTCAGAGCCACGCTGGGCACCACAAACAGGACCCTGGTTGTTGCTGCTCACAGTGCCCAGGAGAACAAGGCTCTCCCAGCAGGGACAGCTCCGCTGCCCCATCCACACCCACAGCTCAGTGCCAGGGACGGGGCTCAGTGTCTGCCCGCTCCCCCCCCGGGCCCTGGCACACTCCTGTCCCTGTCCCCGTCCTGCCGCGGCGGGACAGCCCCAGGCGGGACAGCCCTGACCCGGCTGAGGGACTGGACAGAGCTGTGACACCACCCCCCGTTATTGCAGCCCCTACTCACTGAGTCTCTGCTCCCAGCAGCATCTCCACCCTGTCCCCCGCGTGGTTGCTGAGCACCAGCAGCCTGAAGAGGTGGTTGGCAGAGCCCCGCGAGTGCAGCCCCGCGTTCCTGCCGGGAGAGCAGCCGGGCTCCTCCTCGCAGGGCTGCACCAGCAGCTGCTCCCGCAGCGAGTACTCGGTGACCGTGTAACTCTCCTCACTGCGGGACAGAGCGGCACAAACACAGCCCGGGTTAATGGCGGCTTCCAGTCCGGAGCTCTGGGTGCAAACACCATCACAGAACCCACATTTCATTCCAGAGTCCGGCACGGTTCTTCCAACACCTCATCTCCACGTGTGGGGTAACAGCTCCTGCCACTGTGCTTGGTGTGAAAACCAAGCTCTTACTGGGCTCTGTGGGGTGTGTTTTCACTGTTCTGTGTATTAAATACTGAAATGTTCTGGATTTTTGCAGAACAGCTTTGTGCATGATGGACACAGAACATGCCCCTAATGGAACCCCTCCTGCTCTGCTGCTCTGAACCAGGGAAAGGTGGGGTGGGGTGGGTGGGGTTTGTTCGAGTTTTTTTTAAAGAAACCAGTTCAGTATTTTAGTCTGGACAACTCCTGCTTAGCCAAGGACAGAACTGGGAATGCCGCCATCATTACCTGGAAGTCTTGCATCTGAGAAAGAAATGTGTCCATACACTTGTGTAATGAACAATAAATGCATTCCTTGCTAATTATCAACTAGTTTGCACATGTGCACAGCTAATCATAACTGCATTTCTTACCAGTTAATCAAGAGACACCTTTACAAACCCCTCCTACTCCTTAGCTCCATTCCACAAACCAGTGGGATCAGGCAGGGCAGGGCAGCCCTCACCCTTTGCCCCCTGTGCCTCTGGTGCCCACACAGTGCCTTGTGCTGCCTTTGGTTATGGAATCCCCCTGGCATCCTTAGACAAACCACAGGATTGCAGGCATCGCTCCCAAGAGCACTGACCCTCTGGCAGGTAACATTCCCAGGCAGCAGTGACCTTTGGAAGGTAACATTCCCAAGCAGCAGTGACCTT